TCTCTTTTGAGTGAGATTGGGGTGAAAGCAGAGGAACCTATGATGTTGTACTGTGACAATCAGGCTGCAATCAATATTGCCCACAACCATTCAGCATGACAGGACAAAACACATTGAAGTTGATAAACACTTCATATGAGAAAGGGTAACAGCTGGAGAAGTCTGCTTGCCTTACGTCTTTTCAGAATTGCAGTTGGATGATGTTCTCACTAAAGGGGATGGAAAGAACAAGCTTGAACATGATCTACACAAGTTGGGAATGTGTGACATTTACTCCCAACTTGAGGGGGAGTGTTGAAGATTAATCAGTTTTGTGTTGTTTTATGAGTAGATGTTTTTTGTTAGTTGTTAGATAGGAGGTGGGGACCACATTAGTTATGCGAGTCCAAATTTTATTATGTTTTTGAGTCTTATATATGCTGTTTTATGTTATGCCGCCTTATAAGGGCATAGTTGTCTTTTTACTGCTCATATATTTTTAGTATAAATAATAAGTGAAGGGGGTGGCCAGATCATTGCTCTCTTTTCTTTTCAAGATCTCTTATTCTCTTCTCCTTCTCTCTTCCTTCTCTCTTCAAGAAACTACTTTTTCTTTTCATATTTTTGAGTCCAGCAGATTTCTACTGTAGAGATTAGACAAGATGAGTTAGGTGATGCAAGTGTCTTCTCAAACTCTAAGACGAACAACCTTCCAAGTCTACACCCCTTCCCCTTCACTGCCCTAGTGTGTTTGTCCTGAATAAGACATCCATCATGAAAAAACGAAACAATTTGTTACCATCCTCAACAAGTTGTCCAATCGAAATTAAATAAGTAGTAAGTTTAGGGACAAGAAGTGTTTTAGGAAGATGAAACTAAGAGAAAGTAGAAGTATGTAAAGACAAATTACTCCATCCAATGATTTCTGATTCTTCACCATTGGCTGTAATGATATGTTTATTAAGGTGTTGGGGTTTAAGATATTGACCAGAATGTGTCCTTGTCATTTGGTTAGAGGCAGCAAAATCAATAATCCAAACATGATTGGGTGAAGAGCAATAACAAGAAGACTCACCAGACAGACCAATGGCTGAAAATTCAGAGGAAATAGTAGTGGATACTAATTGTCACACCTTCTCCTTAGTAAGAATACCAGAAGGCTCACCCTTGGTTGTGGACCCAACTGAAAAGAGGGAATTGTAGCGCCACTAGTTGTATTCTCAACACTAGTCTGAAAAGCCTTTTGCTGCTCCTTTTGTATAGCCAGAAGTACTTCTCTTAGGTGGATGTGTAGGACACATAGATATTATGTGTCCCTTCTACTTGTAGTAGGTACATGTATTTTTATTTTATCAATGAGAAGCTACATGAACATACTCCTTACACTCATAGCATTGCACCTTTGATAAATCCGTTTTAAGTTTGGACCTATTTGCCAAGAAAATTGCTTCTGCCCCCATATCTTGCTTCCCGCTGATAGCTGATTGAGTTACAAGTCTTGTTTCCTCCCTTAAAAGCTTTCCCAAAATCACATCTAGGCAAGAAGTAGTAAGTGCTTTGACACAACAGGTTGTCAAGGATTCACCCATATGAATCAATTCATACTCTGTCCATAGATTCACAAAATCTGCATAATTTTCTTGAATTTTCTTCTCCCCTTGGCTATAGGAGAAGACCTCGGTTTCTATCTGATACTGTTTAGAGAGATCAGATTGTTGATAAACTTTCTCCATGTACTTGAACATCTTCTTTGCTGTCTTCAGGCCCCTCATTGGAATAGCTGTATCAGTCCCAATTGATCCAAAAATCCAGGAAACGATTTTGGCATCATCAATTCTCCATTTTTAACCCCTTTACTATCAGATTCATTAGGTCTAGGTGAAGAGTCATCAATATGACCCCAGAGACCCTGCCCCTCAACATAAAAACTCAAAGTGGAACTTCCATAGTGAGTAATTACTCCCATCAAATCTGATTGCAAGAAGAATATCTCTCCTGTCCATAGCCATTTCAGCAAGAAAAACACCAAGAAAGTACAATCCAAAGCAGGACAATATGGTATTAAAGCAAGTAATAAATAAATGCCTTGCTGTAATCCAACCTAAGTCAGAATTGAGGATGTAAATAACAAAGAGATGTGGGGATTCAGCACCGAAGAGATCAGTTCTCACAAGAAAATAATCCCCAATATACTAGAAAATAGAGCAGCAGTCCTGAGATGGAAATACAGATTAGAACAAGTCGGAAAAATGGATCAAAACTCTCAAAAGCAACTGGTACAGCCTCAAATCTGAGAAAAATAACCACAAATTCAACTGGGCAAAGCGACAAGGGTCAAAATCTTCAAGAAATAACCACAGAAAAATAGTTTTAGAATATAACAGTCCAGAAAAGACAAGTTGCAGGTCTGTTGTGAAGAGATGGGAGATCTATCATATGGATGGCCAAACAATGCAGGGTGGTTGGGCGAAATTTCAAAAATTTCTTTCTTCCATCTGGGAATCCTATTCCCTAATTTAGAAAACTGCATTTTCAAAGTTCGTTCTTGAAACAAAGTGGACCAAATCTGAAACCAAAAGGAAGCAAGTAGGGATGTACCTGATATGGAATAGCAGTAACTCCCAACGTAGGTTTTCACGCCCAAAGAGGTGACTAAAACCCGCCTCCATTGAAAATGATATAGCGTATGATGAGGCAGGATCAACAAAGTGGTTCTTCAGCAAGAACCCTAATTCTTTAAAAAGAATTACGCAAGGGGCTGGTGAGCACGACTTTAGATTGTTTCTTCTAACAAGAAACAATATCAAGAACTATTCTTGATCAGATCCAAGAGTGGAGATCAAACTGGGTAGGGGCGGCAAGAACTGGGGAAGAATTCTGCAGATTATTGAGTGTATAAAACTGGTGAATTCGCCCCCTCTTTATAGCCTTATTTGGATCAGCTTCCTAATCCAATTAGGAAAGAATTTCTTGATCCAAACCTGATATTTGGATCTGGACTCTTAAATGGATAAGACTTATCTTATCCTTTAGGTAATCCTGATCAGATTATAAATCAGAATTTGCCCCCTTTTAATTAACTGACTTAAGCCCAGTTCGAAATGGGCTTTAGGACCATTTAGTCACATAGCTCACTTTTCCTTTAAATGTTGGCTAGTTTGGCTCTCTTTGTATGGTGTGGAACCCTAGCATTGATCTACACATCAGCCACATGGGTTCAACCTAGCCTCTATTACAAGGCCTGGCCGAATTCACTGCAGAACACAGTGAACCCCTGAGTCCATCAGTATGGGTTCTTAATGGGCCCAACATTTACACTAAATGGTCCTTGGGTCCAGCCACCTTATGAAGGCCCAAGGACTATGGGCAGATGCAAGATTAGTCCATCAGGTATTACCCTCAATGGTCTTACACTTAACCTCTCAGCCCATAATGATCAAACACTGCCCGACAAGAGGGGACCTCTCCCTCGGCTGCAAGGTACAGTGTTGCATTCTCTACTCACATGGATCCCGAGAATTATAACCTTTTGCAAACATTTTGTGAAATCATAATATATAAGTATATCTCTATATAAATATATTTTGCAAAACAAATTTCAACAAGTTTGAAATCAACTGCCGGTGGTTTAGGTTTCCATCAGAGAAAGTGCTTTCCCCGATCATTCACTTTGTCCGACAAAGGGGCTGATCCTGTCACTATGATCACCCACTCAGGTGAATTCTCGGATTGCCCCAACATACCCAGGTTTTGACCCCCTCTAAGGATCTTACTGATTGGCATATCAAAGACAGCTCAATCTGACACCTAGTGTAGTATCATAATCGAGTATAGGGGTCAGGTGTAACATTACAGTTTTGCCCATCTGTCTCCAAGGTCCAGGGCAATACTGGAATTTGGTCTGGTTCAGGGTTTCAAGAAAACCCACATTGCATGTACCTCAGGTCTCACCCTGGTAGATGAGACAAGCCACCCCAACCCACTTGGTGGCACATCAGTGTCAGCCTTGGCAGGATAAATCTYYCYARATYTATSCAAYGRYTGTKAAGATTCYAAACTAACACGAGTCTCATAAGTGTCCAGTTTAAGGGTATTACACAAAAATGCACCAAAATAACATGAATCAATTATGCACTTTATTCATTTACAATAAATGACAATAAGTACATCAATCTAATTGGAGCTAAGGGCATACACTGTCTAACATGTTGAAGATAGAAAAGAGATCAAACCCCTTCAAATCGAGTCTGAACTCCTGTCCAAGTGAATGGGTAGGTTCTAGAGCCTTAGGGCGAATTAGAATTGAGGAGCATAGGAAGATTGGATCAAGCATTAGAGAGAAATGATAAGAAATCCAACTGAGAGGCGAAAAATCAGAAAAAAAGGTGCTGTAATCATACTGAGCAGAAGAGCTTTCAAACAGTCCTCAAAGTGGTCTTTGACAGTAGGATTAGGAAGCTTGAATGTCAACCTTCTGAACTTGAACAAAAGCTGATGTAGAAGACCTTCTTTGATACCATGACAACTAGGGTTTGTACAGGTGAAGAGAAACAGTTTGTGGGTTGTCTCAATGTGGAACATGCCCAAACAAGTTATGTTATATACTAATGAAATACAATAGGTGAGAAAGGACCATTGTGCCCTTCTCTTGTTCAAGAAAGAATAGAGAAATATACAGTGATATGGTACATATGATACACAATAAAAGGGTACTCCAAATATAAAAAAACAACAGATCAGCCCTTCTCACAACACCCAGATGGACTCATGTTGGTTGTTGCAGAACTTTTCCAAACTTGGCCTTTAATAACACTCCTTCCTTTGTTGGTTTCCATATTTGGATGGGTCCATGATATTTCTTTCCCATTGATACAGAAACCTAATATATTCTTCTTTGGCATCTTCCTGATTTCCTCATCATCCTAGTTGCTTTTGTTTTGATTGTCTGGCAAGCTACTGTTCAACCATTTTTGTTTTTTTGGTCTTTTAAAGCATATCTTAATGTCAATTTTGTTGTTTAGATATGATCCATTCACCAATTTATACCACTATGACATGGAGGGTAATGGCGTGATATGTTTGGCTGTTGACATTCTTCCAACAGAGTTTGCAAAAGAGGTAAATTACCTTTATGTGGGCAGACTTTTAACTTTTCAGTTAAGTTATATTTATCTTTGTACACAGAGTGCATAGGATGTTGGTGGGGCCATCATATCTATGCTTAGTTTTGAACTTTACATCTGAGTTATTGTTCAATTTTGAGAAGGCTTCGCAACATTTTGGAGATATCCTTTCCCAATTTATTGGTAGCTTGGCTTGTACAAAAGATATCTCAGAATTACCTTCCCACTTAAGAAGAGCTTGCATAGCTCATGGAGGATCACTTACTCACTTGTATGAATACATTCCACGCATGAGAAATTCTGATTCAGAGTAAGCTTCTAATCCATACCATTCATCCTTTGTTTCCTGTAAATCAAAATTATTTATGTTCTTTATAAACTATTTCAACATCTTTTGCTTGCTTGAGGCTATTGCTGAAAACTTAAAGAATACATGATACTTTCATATTATTTTATCAACAAAAAAAAATTAAACCTGTTTTGATTTTTTCCAATTAATTATTGTTCTTATTAATAAACTTTTTTATCACTTATCAAAAAAAAGAAATTATTCTTATTTCCCTTTCTCTGTCAGGCTTGTTTCGTGTATTGATTTTTTTTATCAGTAACAACCATAAATTCTATTGAGTGTGATTCAGACTGATGTGTTCTGATCTGAAGTGGCCCTACTCTCCCCACTGGCCACTACCCTTCTTAAGATCTCCTCTTCCTTTAAGAATTCGTTCTCAAAGACTCTAATATTCTTTTTCTGTCCAACTATGTTACCCTGATACAGAAAAGGACAGGGCTGGATACAATGTTGGATACAAAACTTACACTAAAAATCAAAGTATCTGACATGATACGGTATCCTTGTGCAAGTATTTGGGTACCATAGTTGTGCAAGTTGTTGGATTGAAGTCTTTGTATGTATGAGTATTTGGCTGATAAGAGTTCTTATTAGCCTATACTTAAGTTTAAGTTGTCCTGTACTGGGCCTTTGTTAATGGGYCTAATCCTGTTTAATGTTTTAAGTTGTCTGGGTGTCCCATCACTAATCAGGGGCATTCTAGTAACTTCCTGTATCATTGTACTACATCATAATATAAATAATAGTACTGTCGACTGAGCAGTGCAGTTTGACATTCCAGCATCTCTTCTTCTTCTTCTTCTCTTTTCTGCTACTTCGGCTACAGTAATTTAGCTTTCACAAGTGGTCCAAAGAGTTGCATCTGGATTAGTGGCCCACAAATCCTCCTTTTGATAAACCTTTCAACCACTATGCTTCCAATACCTCTTTAACAAATTTTGGATGACCACCCATCACACAATAAGTGCACTTTCTAATCCCACGACCACTAGTTTGTTCATGTCCACCAAGTCCTGCCTAATTACTCAGGCAAATTTGTCACCACCTTTGTTCCAATGTCCAACTCCTCTGGTACCACCACGGCCTCTCCCACTCACCACATCTAATGCTGATCTGTCATGTCTATCTGGTAACCTGTGTTTGCAAAACGAAAAAACACCCTATGGAACTGATAAAAGGCATCCTGTAATGAGGGAAGTTGAGCACTGCCCAGTATCAGAACACAAACAGTCTCAAACTCCATCCTAAGCCCTGAAATGAAATGAGCTACATATAACCTCCCCAGACCTTGCATTCGGTCAATCTGAGCATTTTCTTGCTCCCAATCATCATACTCACTGCTACTAGCTTATGGTTTTGCATTCAATTACTTTAACTTCCCTTTTGACTTAACAAAGACTTCATTTAATATAGTCCAAGGTATATAATTATCAGCATTCAGCTTTATAGATGTCATCTGTAATGCAAAGATTTCAGATTGAACCAAACTGTTTGGTTTAGTTTCACCAGTGCTGGATGCAGCCATTGTACTTCTCTAACTACCAAGTACCAACCACGAGAACAGTAACAAAGAGATGGATAGAAGCCTACTGTCCACACTGCTATCACCAACATGTCACTACCGACACACTATGCTGTCTACCACACAAAATGTCACATTTATGATGTTTCAGCCACCCACGAGATTCTAAATCACACCACAATCACCACTACAGCATATAGTCCCTCTTGGTAACCATCTATAAGAGGGCTTTTTTTGATCATTAACAGGGAATCATTTCATTTAATATAAACAATAATTTACAATAAGGATCCAAAGGGGTAAAAAATACCCCTAAAATACAGATATTACAAATGAGCCCAATATAACTGCTCCCTATTTACCCCTTGCCTTGCAAAAGAATTTGCCAACCCATTATCATCCCTTGGAACCCACTGAAATGTTACTCTCATTCCCCTTAATAACCATTTGATCTTCTTCACCACTTCTTGATAAGTCCAGACTGCCTTTTTTCATTCTTTCATCAGCTTACCACCACTTGGGAGTCCCCTTCAACAATCAGCCTTTTTAAATTTATCTGTTTTGTTATTTGTGCCCTACAAAGTACAACAGTCAACTCAGCTCTACTGGAACCTCCTAGACCAATAGGAGTCAAGAACATTGCTGTTATAATCCCATATTTATCTGACCCCACCCCCCTTCCTAAGGGGCCTTGGTTACCAAAGCTTCTCCCGTCAAAATTGAGTTTCATAATGTTCTCCAAGAGTGGTTTCTAGGCTTTAAGTATTCTAATCTTTCTTGTAGACGAAGAAGTCACTTCCCTCCAGCTCCTTAAATCATCAAAGGAATAGGGTGAGAACAGGTTCAAAGATTTGACCCAATGAATCACCCTTATTTAAAATGCACTCCAAATTTTCTTATAGATTTTTTTCCTCTTCCTTGAGGAGCCTTGCATTTCTTTCTTCCCAAACTGTCCAAATTATAGCTTCCCTAGTGCATTTCCACATTATTCTTTTTTCCTTGGCCACCTAAAAAGTTCCACACGCAAACAAATTATTCAAGCTTGTAGGTAGAGTCCACCTGCACCCAAAGAGAGAAAAGAACCACTCCCAAATAAAGGTAAAAAAACAATAGGAAATTAGAAGGTGATAAGCAATCTCATCATTTTCCTTATAGAGTGTGCACCCGCTTGGAGACAAAAACATTTTTTTCTTATTTGTTGTAGTAAGTCTAGAGTGTTGATTTTTCCATGATAGACCTCCCAACAAAAGGTCTCTATTTTTAGGTGAACTGCTTTGCACCAAACCTCATACACCGGAAAGGAGGACCCAATAGACACTTGTGTAACTAGGTACTGGAAGAAAGAGGCACAAGAAAAGGAGCCTTTGAAGTCAGGAGTCCAAATTCTCTCATCAGACTTAAGAGGGTCTACAACAACTGAATCAAAAATTTGCAATAACTCAGTGACAAGTGAGCAGTCAGTTTTTCTCAAACCTCTTCCGAAACCCAAGTCCTATGCCGCCCCATCAGAAAGAGAAATAAAAAGGAAGAAATAGGCTCATTTTTAAACAAAGAAATGGCATAAAGAGAAGGGAAAATATCATTTAAAAGGTACAGTCAGGTGTAGCTCGCGAAGGCCTCCCCACACAAAAGTTCATTAGGAGGAATTGAAAAAACAATGCCACGCCAGATGATCTAGTGTTACAGACAGTTGCGGCAGCACTATATATATATATATATATAGTTTGGGTCTGTAATAGGGATTATGGAATTACAAAACCTGATTTCTCTTACCTTCTCTAGTTTTTCCTTTGTTTTCCTCTATCCCCCTCTCCATCTTTCTTTCTTTCAGGAGGTTAAGTCTCCTTCAAAAGACTTCCAAGGTGGCAGTTCCACCATTTTGGTATCAGAGCACCGACCAACATGTTCCAAACATGGTTAACCACTGTGGATGATTGAGTTGATCAGGTAGAGGTTGGCTTGCATCAAGTGGTGTTCGAACTCAAGGAACTCAAAGCAGCAGTCTCCGCTATCGCCTCTCAATAAAAGTCAACAGAATTGAGCAAGCGGGAGGAGACTGAAGGCTCCGTGAACAGTAATCCGAGGATGGGGGGACACCCCTTTGGTAAGGTCACTAAAATCGATTTTCCAAATTACTTTGGTGGCAACCCCATCCCCTGGATCTTCAAAGCAGAACGGTACTTCGAGTACCATGAGATGCTACCACACCAACATGTCTCCATTGCTTCTATCCACTTGGATGGGGATGCCATCCTCTGATTCTAGTGGTATTGCCATTCCCACCCCCAAGTCACATGGTCGGGGTTCATGGAATCCATCTGCATTTGTTTTGGGTCTATAGGGTATGAAGATTATGATGAACACCTATCTAAAGTTAAGCAAACAGGGACGGTGAAGGAATACTGGCTAGAGTTTGAACGGCTGGCTATGAGGGTGTACAAATGGTTGAAGAAGGCACTCATAGGGTGCTTCGTCGGAGGTCTCCATGACGAAATCTAGTTAGAGGTAAAAGCTCTTCAACCTGCAACAGTCATGGTAGCTGTTGGGATGGCTAGACTTCAGGAGGAGTGCATTGAAAGCTTGTGCAGGGTTACCCAACCGTCTGAACCGCTACTTAAGTCTCCAGTTCGATCCGATCCGTCCTTGCCAAATCCATGGGAGAGGTAGCCAAGCCCATATTTCCCAAGCCCACAACACCATTCAAGCACCTCACTTGGGCCAAGATGCAGGCCTGATGTGAGAAAGGTGTAGAAGAGATGGGCCGAATGGCCCATAGGCTGTCATTCTATGTTGTGTTTATGTTTTCCTCTGTAATGGGCCTTATTCTGGGCCCATACTCTTATATACTCTGTTTTTGTAATTTCTTGCTCACCCAAGGGCATCTTTGTAATAATTCAAAGATTAACTTAATAAAAATGTTTTAGAGTGTTAGAGGGAGGTTTAGTTCGAACCTCTCACTCTCTAACTCTCATTGCCGCCAGCTCTCTCTCTCTCTCATCTTCTTAATCTTCTCTTGTTTGTTTTCTGGTTTTGCATCTAATCTC